CACACCATTTCTTTATCTTCTCAAGTTCCTGTGAAACCCGTCCCGATAGTTGCTGTAGGTTATCCCCTGATGCCCATATCGTAGTGTCATCAGCAAATAAGACCATTTTCACTAAAGCCGAAACCTTGCACATATCGTTAATGTATAATATGAATAATTTCGGTCCCAAGACTGAACCCTGAGGCACTCCACATACAATGTCCAGATCACTCGACTGGTATTCACCCAACTTCACAAATTGACGCCTCTGTGTCAAATAACTTCTAATCCATTTCAGAACCATTCCTCTGATCCCATGTTTTTCTAACTTGCACATTAATAATTCATGACTGATTGTGTCAAATGCCTTTTTTAGGTCAATAAATATTCCTATCGTGTATTTCTTTTCATCCATGGCACTTGTAATGTCCTCCATTAGGTCGGTAATGGCCAAAGATGTCGACCGGTTTGACCTAAAACCATATTGACAATCAGAGAGGATTTTATGTTTATCAATAAATGTATCTAATCTGTTATTGAAGAGTTTTTCCAGAATTTTTGAAAATTGTGACAACAGAGAACCTTTGGACAGGGGCACAGAGAAAAGGGTAGTTGATGTCAACTGCAAAAATTATGCAATTACTCCTGTTTACATGTTCTGTGCAAGGTTAGTTTGCTCAGCTGTGGTGAAAGAAGACATAATACATGCAGTGAAAGAGAAATAAAACAATGGCATATCAATGTATTCAAAGAAAATTAATGGGCAACAATTTTTTTAACAGAGTAATTGTTTTAACAATTTTTCAAACAAAGCATTTGAGGCTGCAAGTTCTCAAATGTGAGAATTTGCTGCTTCTATTGGTCTCATAGCAAATCACACTAGTGGAAAGTAACTGTTTTTGAATTGTACTTTAATTAGACTTGAGTGTTTCCATGATACTTCTTTATAATACTTAGCACTATAGTATTATATTGAATTTGTATGTAGAATTATTTATTATAGAATTATTGTCAGATTAATCACTAATGAAAAGGGATAATACTGAAAATGTTTATAATTGTAATGAAAAAAATATACCTGCATTAAAGGTGTCCCAATAAACTGTTTGGCTACTAAAGTTTCACTCAGACTTTTCTCAGAATCAGTAGCTGGAATATACTCAATATACCTCTCAAAAGTAGAAATACTACAACCGAAAAATATCTAGTTACAAGAAAACATGGTGTGTTCAAAACGTTCAAAACATTTTCTTATCAGAATGTATTTAATGTAGCAAAAGTAAAAGAACTCTGTCAGTCTATAAACTACACTGTGGAGGTGAAATAAACTGTGGAGTAAAAAGTACAAAATTTGCTTCTGAAATGCAGAGGAGTAGAAGTACTTTGTAGGGTAAAATGGAAATACTCAACTACAGTAGGTACTGAACTTAGGTCCAGTACTTGATTAAATGGATTTAGTTACTTTCAACCACTGTTTATTCGTTGCTGTTCTTTTACCTAAAAACCTTTAAATGGAAAAGAACTACTAACTGTAACTTTAAAACACAGTAAATGTAGTAAACTAAAAGGTGCAATATTGCCCCTTTAAATTTAGTGAAGTAGCAGTAGGATAAAACAAAAAAGTATACACCTCTGAAATTTGTACTTCAGTACAGTGCTATGTAATTAGTTACTTGCCATCACTGTGGATAATTTCGTTTCAAGCAGACAGTCACCTGGTGTCTAGATGCTCTGAGCCTGAGGCTCTTGTCTCTGCACACAACTGCAGAAATAATGAACCATTTCCAGGAGAGAAGATCAAATAACAAAGATGTGTCTCGCACATATATCATGGCCTTTCATTTGACTCACTTTGAATATGTTTTTGCAGAAAATGAAAGCCTAATATAAAGCAGATGTGACCAGACAAACAAGAGGCAACTTTACATTGATCCTAGAGCCAGTGTAAGCAGCGACTGTAAGACATTTTTATCTCCCAGTTTTGTAGTGGCTAAAAATTGCTTGAATTTTGAGATCCCATGTCCTATATCTTCCTTTTGCATTTCAGAGCATTTGTAAAACTACAGTAGTCAAAAGACAAAAGAGAGGTGGCCTCTCAGTCGACCTACCCTGAATAAATATAGGTTAAAATAAAATTTTAAAAATCCCCACACAGCCTACTCCTTCATTTCTTGTGTGCACTGCACTGCAGGACAATAACATTCTGCTCAAAACTCAAGGTTTTGTTCGTATGCATAGTGTGTCATACCTTATTTTTGATGTCATTCTCCCGTACACAGTTGGCATGTAGTGTGAAACTGGGGCACAGCCACTGTCTACAGGCCAACAGAGGTCAGATGCAGTCAAATCAAACAAACATGACCAAGATTAAATTGTCCTGTCTGATGCTAGTCTATTGGCACAATGACTGACCTCTGGAACCACTGTGTGTTTTGGCCTGAGAGTTTGTGATGAAAACACTCAATACACCTGAAAAGATAAGAGACTGACTTCTCTCTGGGTTTGTGCACTTTGTTAATGACTGACTATGATTTTTGTTTTTTGTTTTATTTTGTTCTCGGAAGTTCTCAGATAACTGGTATCTTCAATTCTGACGGTGTGGCAACATGAAGCATCAAGAGGGTGAATGTGTGTTGGAAACCATTAGTTTTTAAATAGATTCTCAAATTAATGCAAACTATTTGTGAAAATAATATAACCTAGATCATGTAAGTCTTGAGACCATAATCAGCTTCATATTTAACCAACATCTGTCGCAGACTGGTCACCTATCCAGGGTGTACCCCGCCTCCATCCAATGTCAGCTGGGATTGGCTCCAGCCCCCCTGCAACCCTTGTTAAATAAGCGGTATAGAACCAGAATTGAGATTTTTCTATTTATCAGTGTTGTTGTATCTGTGTGTTTTTGCAGCCCTAACTGGTTCTCTCTGTTATTTCTTACTGGGTTGTTTTTTTTTTTTGGCTTCTTGCTTGTATTTAGATTGAAACCTAATCACAGTATTCTGTTTAGTTTTTTAAAGTGCACTCCAAACAAAGCAAATCGTGGCTTGAAAACAAATCCAAAATCAGATGTTACTTCTCAAATGAACTCTCAAATTGAGTCTAATTTCCATCTTACTCCCTGGTGTTCTTTTACTACCCACTTTGCTCTGTGATTGGCTTCTCTCACACAGTAAGGAACTTGACATGTTAACCTGTGCTTGTGAATGAGAACAACACACACAAGGTGGGGTGCCAATCTTCAGCTGTGATTGGCTCTTGGTCCCAGACACTCCCCACCAGGCAAACATGGCTCCAAGCAGAGGCTGTGCTGTTTTTGTGTGTATGTTTGCATGTGTGTGACTGACCTCACAAAGAGCATTGTGCATGGTGACAAATATTTATAGTACATTCACTCACCTTGGCATTTTTTTTTTTTACCATAAATGCCTGATTGTCTGATTAATCACAAATGTAAACCTTGTATTGTCCTATAATTCACCAGTAGCCATCCATTGTTTTATAGCACATGACATGAAATGGTTCACACATACAAAAACAAGCATCCAGGCAGGCTCTATCACAAGGAGCTCAGCATATGGCCGAGGGAATGCAACAGCTGGGCTCAGGGAGTGTCATCCTATCCCATCTCAGTTCCAGCCCATTTTGACCCTCAGCACATTCCTATGTAAATCTGCCACCAGTGAGTGAAATATAACCACGATACCCTTCTAGCAATCACATGACACCTTGTTGAAGACAGAAATATAAGTTCATCCTGTTCACATACCAATACCTTGAATCCCTTTGACTACACTGTCCTGGGGTGGACTTGGATTGATTAATGGTTTGAGGATTTATTAATGCTTAGAGGTGGAAATGCTCTCTATATAGTACTGCCTCCCTGGAAAAAAAGTTTCTAGTAGCATTATGATATATCATCTTACATTATGGGTGCAGTACAGTCCTGTGATTTTGGAAAGACTGAGATAAAGAGCTTTCTAAA